AATGGTGTGCCAAGATGATAGTGGTCTGCAAGTGACTGTGGGTGATGTGAAGAAAGGCAGGAAAAGGATATCAGAGAAGATAACAGTACGTAGGAGTCAACATTAGACAGAGTATCAACAGGTTTGGGGTAGGGAAGTCTTCATCTGTATTGAAATAGCTACAATTCAAAAAATTTTCTGTTAAAACTAACAGATTTAAGATGTTTGTATAATGATTGATTACAGAGAAAAATGACTTTGTGGAACTTGTCTGAATATTGATCTAGAGTAGGATTTTTAAAAGTTATGTGATGTTGAGCTAAATCTTCTCCCAGTGTAATTAAAACTAGTGACCACAGTGAAATTTGATCTACTGTATATCCATCCAAAATAAAATTGAAACCTGCCTTCCTTCTGCTCTTGTTCCCTGGTGGATTCCTATGTTTGTACCTTCATTTTAAACAGAGCTGTTCTGTATGAGTAGGGAGACGGACAAGGTGTAATAAACAAGGTAAACTGACTCTTTTGCTTGCAAGACCACTTTCTGGGTCCTTTCTTTGAGCATTAGCCAAAATCCGTATGGTATGCTTGGGCAGCTGAGCTTCTGAGTCACAGAATAATGTCATTATTGTTTACTTCAATCCACTTTGATCAACCTTATTTGATCAGCTGTACAATTAAAGGTAGACACTTGATTAAGTATCGCTCAGGAGTACAAAGGAGGTAAAGAAAGCAATTCAGATGAGATGGTCCCAGATAGCAGGGTCAGTGGATCAAATGGGAAGGTGAGGAAGAACTTTTTAATGAAGGCTTTCAGAATAATGTTAGTTGCTTAAGTCTTGAATTACTCATTGGGATGGTTCTTGTTAACTACATTTTCATGTTGTATAGACACGTATTTATTAAAATTTTAAGTACTATATTGCTGTTGGAAACCCATAATTAATTGATTAATTTCTTTATTTCTTTAATGCAAGAACATTATTAGGAAAGGACAGGCCAGTAGTTACACAGCATTGGGTTGGGACTTGGGAGTTTCTACTTCCCTTCCCAGCTCAATCACAGGTTCACTCTGTAGAAACTTAGCTTCTTTGCTGCTTATACCTACCCACTAAGGCTGATCATCTTTCATTTCTTAGCTTACACAGTCAGAGCAGGATTCAGGCCTTATCACAGGTAAATAATACGATTTTAAAAGTACAATACTGGATGGGTAGTACATGAAGGGGTTCAAGCTGGCATATGCTTGGGTCAAATCAAAAGGTTAAAAAAAAATTTCAGCTAGCACAATGGTCTTGTCCTTCTCTATTTCCCTGTACAAAGTTCTTGTATTTGCATCTTCTAGTCATGAAAGAAAAACTTGTGGTAAAAGGATTGGATTGTGCAGTGTTGTATGGTGCATACAGATTATTAATACTTGCAATTCATGTGTGCTTAATCACCTCTCCCCATGTTGTAGTGTATCTGGGTAACTGCCACCCCTTGAATAAAATAAGCATATCAGGAAAGAAGATGCTTTCTGAAAAGTACAGAGGACTGTTTATGGAAGCTTGCAATTCAGGAACATTTCCATTTTCACTTTGAAGCTGTATAAAGCTGCATCTGCAGACCACAGATTTTCAGATTATGTGTTACTGTCGCCAAAGGAGGTGCCTTGGAATCAAACTGATAAAAACTCATCCTGTCTTCATTAACCTCAATAAGAACTAAAGTGATGCTAAAGGCCATTGAAAGTAACTTTTTATTTTCATGCCATCTAATCTCAATGACAAAGTTTGATGTGTCATTTTTATTTTACAGATGAGGAGACTGAAGCCTATCAGTGATGTTCCCAAGGTCAAAACCGAGCTGCTCAACAGAGATAGCCATCTATCCTTAATTTTCAGTCCAGTGGTTCTCTCATCAGGTGGTCTATCCCAGCCTGAAATCATTTCAGTATCTTGAAACGTACTTGGGTAATGGAAAATATATTGGAGACCTTTAAAGTCAATAAGAGTATTTTTCATCTATTTGGGGGGTTAGGAGGAAAATAAAACAGAATAAAAATTTTTTTTTCCACAGTACCCCTGCTGGAAATCATCGAGATATTAAATCTCAGTAAGCGCTTTCTTTACTAATATTAGTATTGCAGAAACATTCAAGTCTGAAAAGAAAGTCCATGGTAAAGATGTTACATGTAGAGATAATGAAAAACAGGCCTTCTTTTGAAAGATTCTGGGGCCTACATAACGGGTATTTATGCTAAAGCAACCTGTCTACTCTCCTGCCCCTTTTACAGGAGGTCTCAAGTCTTCTATAGGTCTTGTGTCATGCCTGCCAACTTGCACACACAGAAGCAGTAGTAGGAGATTCAGTTATTGGTGCACCATACATGTAACACACCTGCTACATTTACTGTATAGTTTGCAACTGGCATTGAAACTGAAAAATGATGATGAGTGTTCACTATCGGTGATTGCCGCTGGTATAGTAATTCTTTTAAAAAATTCTTGTCCCTGTTCTCTACTTGGTTCATATGAGTGATACTAATTCAGATGAAAAAAAAAGTTCTGTGAGCAGAATTTCCTTCTTCTTGTGAATGTTTTTTTTCACTGTATATAGACTATATTTCATCCTCATTTCACAGTCCCTTTCTAAACCACTGAATTTTTTCTTTCTGACAGGACAGTGGAAGAGATTCTTCAGTAAGTATTGAGAGCATGGCATGACCACTGTGTGCAGATTGCACCTTTATTCTTCACTGTATATGTCATCCAGACTAGAAAAACCATAGTTCACCAGACATGCATACATCTTCAATCTCAACATTCTCCCTGCACTCTGACTGCCTGATCCTTCCCAAAGACTTCTGCATAACTCAGAACTATCAGTGAGGGAATGAAAGGGAAGGTAATGTCCATTTTCTTCCTAATTCTATACTCCATTTCCTTCATATTGCTGCTAGGTTAATATACTTGTGATCTGTATACCTTACACTTGCAAATCTTTGTGTAACTTATAATAGGGATAAAGATTTTTTATACTTGAAGTAACCTGTGAGCTGTAATCCTAGAACAGCTATTATTGTTGCTAAATTGACAAAAAATCTCTGATTTCCTTTGAACACTGGACAAGTTGAGTGGTTCTGTTGCCATCAAATATAACAGTCATTGGCTAATTAAGAACTCTTTAAACCTGTTTCAGAATGGTCTGTTCAAAACGAAACCGATAGTCAGGAAGGTGTTTGCAAGATGTTAGCAAATGCATGAACTATTATATGGGTCTATTTCTTCTAAAGATGTCAAAATATGAGTTGGGGTGTGGTATCGAAACTGACCTACATGAAAGGCACAGCAGTAACATGGACTTGGGCAATGTAGACTTTGTCGTGATTTTAATTATCAGAAGGAATAAAACCCATCTGTTTGGTTATTTCAGTATTCTGTACTTCTATTCCTATTAAAAATAAATAATAGAGTGAAAGATCTAGTTCAGTATATAAATGATCAGTACGAAGCTGGTTAACGTGGTTTCATGACTTAGTTTTAGAGCTGAAATTGTGGTCAGTAGACAGGTGGGATTGTAATGGTTTGTGGCAGTGCGTGGTACACCTGGCATGCATGCATGTCCTCATCATTTTAGTTTCAAGCTGCTGTAGCACCTTATTGCTGCTTCTATAATGAAATGCTAGGGAAATGCCTTGTTAAATTTTAGCTTAGCATTATTAAGAACAAAACAATAATTACAAGGCATCACAAATGAAAGAGAAAACAAGAGGCTTATAACCATTTTGTAACACAGTTCGTCCTTGACCACCGTGATCTGTCAGTCACCTAGGCTTTGATGAGTAACATAATCTCTGTGTTTGTGACCTTTACAGGCAGAATTAGAAGGAACAAGTAAAAAGGAAAGGGGAGGGGAGTTGGGGGGTGGGGGTTTCGGAGTGAAGAAATAAAGAGGAAAACAAAGAAGGGGAGTGTCCAGACAAGGTTTATCTATGTTCTGTCTCCATGTTTATCTATGTTTGTAATGACAAAATTACACATGTGAGTAAACAAGTACAAAGGAAAGAGTCGTCCCAAATGGGGAAACGTATTTCATGTCAGCACTCAATCATGGTCTTTGTTGTTAACTGGAAAAAATCAGTCAGCTTGATTCATCAGCACTTAATTCCTATTCAAAAAAGTTAATAGAAACAAGCAGTACTTGTTTTCATTTAAACAATTTAGAAATGTGTGAGAGGGCAAAGAGAACGAGAAGTGAGTGCTCACATGCAGTATGTGCACGTGTGGGAGTAAACAGCTTGCTTCTTGTATTCCCGCCACCTGCCTGAGGCAGTAACTGAGATCCACGCAGTACTGAGATAGATGAAGGGACCACATCAGCCAGAGTAGGAAATCCATCAGGGAAACATGTCTGTCACATATCCTCTCAGTGGTATGCAGTTACAGACAGAGAGATAAAGTACAGGCAATTAGTTTGTCATCCATATACAGGCTGAGGATCAGGCAGAAGATTTTGCTCTGGATAGACTTTGGAAGAGCACCAAGCTGATGTGATACATGGCTCCATGTGTACTTCATCACAGCACAGAGAGTCTGACTTCTGGCACCAAGAGTCGCTGTCTGTTTCCGGTGGTTCCAGGCACAATCTCCTGGTTTCCAGTAGGGCCCTAATTACACAATGTTTGCCCTGTTTCCAGTGGTTCCAGGCACAACCTCCTGGTTTCCAGTAGGGTCCTAATTACACAATGTTTGCCCTGTTTCCAGCGGTTCCAGGCACAACCTCCTGGTTTCCAGTAGGGTCCTAATTACACAATGTTTGCCCTGTTTCCAGTGGTTCCAGGCACAATCTCCTGGTTTCCAGTAGGGTCCTAATTACACAGTGTTTGCCCTCATCTGCTCCACATGGCCAAAGGCAACAGAGAGAATGTCACAGCTACTCTTCAAATGGCTGAAGATTGTCAGCTTTGGCTGAATAATAGAGATGACCCTCGCAAACCTGTTTCATCAATATTTGCTTTGCTTCCTCCTTTTTTTTGGTTGGCTCTAATTTTTATCAGATCTGTTTAATGTTTAACAGCACTAATTAAGCAGAAGATTATGTACTAGTATAAGTAACAGTGTGGGGAACAACATGGTCAGCTGAATGCAACGAGGCTTCTGATTTTGTAAGTACTACACACGCACTTTTCTTGGAGACTTGCAAACGATGATTTCTGTGGTTGGTTGAATTTTAATATTAGGTTAATTTCATTTGTCTGCTTGTGATTTGGTTCTGTGCAGATGTTGCAATGGAAGATTAATCAAGCAGACATGTAAGGGACCAGTGGGACCTGCTGTTCTGGGGGAATATGCTTAGCCTGAAATCAAACTAAAATAACCTTTGAAGTCATGGGGACTTATTAAGTAGTTGTCAAAACAGAATATTGATGTAATCACCTTTTAGGTTGAAACAGTCTTCACAGTGACTCAGAATTAGTATAGTCCCACTATTGACTGAACAACCAGGTCCAATTTATAAATTCTTTCAGTGACTTAATTTAAAAAACAATCATTGAATTGCTAAGGCCATGCTTTCTAATTAGACAGTGGTGAGTGTAACGGGGGGCGGGTGGAAGGCCACAATTTAAATTTAATTGCCCCTTTTATTCCCATAGACAAACTAATATGTGGTCTGGAAGAGAATTATTTTCTGAATTTCCAATTTGCATAAAAAGTACTGCCAGATTTAGTAAAGCCTTTCCAATTTCTTCAGCTTTGAAGTGTTAACAAAAGTATTTGTGTGTGAAATTTTCTAATCTCAAAATGTTGAAATTAATGTGATTTCATCTCTAAAGGGAAAAGTACGGGAGGAAAACTTGATGACAATATTCAGTGTTTTCCAGCTTCTGGTAGAAGCATTTCTTTCAGATTTCTACAGAGAGCACTGATACTAAGAAAAGTTTTTTAACTGATCTGTTATAGTAGAAGCTATAACAGAAACATGCCTAATATAAGCTTGCTGCAGAAAAAAAAACCTAAACCATACTCTTTGCTTCAGAAATTCTTTGAAATTCAGGCTAAGTTCTGTATGGACACAGGAAGTGAACATGGACAGATAAAAATTATCTTCTCACCTGAGTGTGCAGTATCTCAAATACCTAGAGATAAACAGCCTACAAGATGTTAAACATCAAGTATTTTTGGAACACCCTGTGTACTACATTATTACTTCATTTTTCCACATAAGGGTTGTTTGGGTTTTGGGGGGTTTTTTTGACTGTGAAGAATAGGGAGAGTTCTGCTTAAAAGAGCTGCAAATAGCTGAATCATATTCCCATCTGGAGCCATATTCCATCTTTTGGTTTAAGGAAATTCAAATTTAGTGTTACCACTTTTTACTGCAGGTCACTGCAGTGGACCCTATCTTCTCTCAGGCACACTCAGCATACTCAGAGCTAAGCAAATATGAGAACACACAGCTAGTGTATACGTTTGCTATAAAAACAAGGGAGATCATCAATAAAAAAATAAAACAAAATCCTTGAACTTGGGCTGCCCTCAGAAACTCCATCTAAATGTTGTTTAGATAGTAAATACAATCATCTTTCACATCTGGGAATGAATGTAAGACCAAGACAACTTTACCTTGGCAGGACACGGGAAAATATGTTCCTGGAAGAAAAGGCTACAAACAGGCTGTGTTGTCTGGAAACCAGAAAAAGCCATAACAGTAGAAAAGTTCTAGAAATATTTTCATGCAGAAGCTACAAGAACAAAAAGCTTATTTTCATTGATAGCTTGTTACAGCTCTGAAGAGGGTTTGTATGAGATGCCTCCAGAACAGCAGGGAACTGAATTCAGTAAATCAGAGACTTGTCCCAGCTCCTGTGGAGAGCAAGGACTCACATGAAGAACATTACATCAGCATTAGGAGAACAAGCATAACAAAGAAACTTGTCATCTCCAAAGAAATTAATCTATGTCTTTTGATTTCCAAATGGGATCAATGGTCCTCTTCTTCTTGGACCCAGGTCTTTCCCATATCCCATGCAAGTTAACCCATTGGTGAGGGGCAAAACATCATTTAACAAATTACAAACACTTGTTGCAGCCTCCAAAAAAGAAAGGTTCCTTCACTCCAAACATGCACCTCATTTTCTGATGCAAACCTGCTGCTTCCCACATGTCTTTGTGCCCATTTCTGCGTGCACTGCTGTCATGTCACAGGATGCTCCAGGCTTTTGCCTTGAATTTTGCGTTGAAGTTCATGCCTTTCTTCCACCACCAGCTGTGGCCAATGACTGGCCATGTGAGTAAGTAAACAGGGCCATGAGGTAAACAGAGGTGTGAATTTAACAAGCACGAAATAGTCTGTGATAGCTGTCTGCCTCTGTGCTGCTGCCTTGGTGGAGGTGAGGGAATTTACCCCACTTCCAGTGAGTAGCGAGATGTCTCCCATTTCCTTACATTTATCAAATTGCTTTTGGGCAGATGCTGTGGAGTATTTGATGTCTTTGAAACCCCCACCCTGTCTTCCCTCATGGTAACTTGTTTGTTTAGATGTACCCTATGGGAGACGATGATCATAGGAAAATAATGTAATTGTTAATTGAGATTATTGTGAACTTTAGCTCTATGTTTTCATAGCCAATGTATTACAATGAAGAAAAGTATTGCCTTTTCAGGCCAGTTACAATGAAATATGATGGTTTTATTATGCTGACATTTTAATCTACAACTTGGTTGAATTTATTAATTAAATTTGACATTGTAGCCATGAGAACTTTAAATATCATGTGTATATTAGATATTTACAGTTGCACTACATAATATTTATGATAATAAACTATTTATTATTCCTTACTACCAAGCACATCATTACCATCTGCTCATTTAATGACTGTTTATTTTGTGACAGAATAATTTCAAAAGAAGATGAAGTGTATCCTGTGCCTGTGTTTACTCCTTGCTGTTCTTTGTGCTGTAACCCATTGCCGCCATGAAGATATTTGCCATGAAGTCAACAATACTAATCTGCAAGACGGAACTGAAAATTTATTAACACATAACTGTGACAAGCAAGGCTCAAACTATGCAGATTTTGTATTTAGATTTTACAAGCAGGCTATATCAAAGGAAGCTGATGAAAACGTTTTCTTTTCTCCCATAAGCATCTCCACTGCATTTGCCATGCTGGCTCTTGGTGCTAAGTCAACCACCCTGTCTCAGATTTTTGGAGGACTGGGCTTTGACGATCTGACTGAGGCTCGCATACATGAAATACATGACAGTTTTCACAAAGTTTTATCCATACTGAACTGTGCTGATGCTAATATCACATTAAATATAGGGAATGCCATTTTTATAGCTACTGGGTATGAACCACAGGAGTCATTTTTACAAAATATCAAACAATTTTATGATGCAGATTTTTTTTATAGCGATTTCCATAAACCAGAAGAAACTAAGAAGCAAATCAATAAATATATAGAGGAGAAAACCAAGGGGAAAATTCCTGAATTAGTTGGTCATCTTGAACCAAGTACTGTACTGGTTCTAACTAACTACATTTATTTTAAAGGTAAGATATTTAACATAATATTTCAATAGATGGTTTTGATGCAAAATAAAAATTTTAGGGAACTCCTGATGATTTGTTACCAGAGTGACTATTTAGGAAAGAACTAAATTGTGCAGAACCTTCAAAGTAGAGATTAGATCTGGCCAAGAGCAGGGTATCTGATTGTTGAGAAATACTGATTTCTTAATCATGACCCAGTTTGCCTGAAAGCTGTAGACAGAGAAGTCCCTCTCTAGTGGACCTCTCATAGACAGGGATCCACTGCACATAGTCGCACTGGTCTGAGAGCACAATGACTAAAGATGTTTCCAAGATCTCTATGCTGACTGTACGTGCCAGTCAAACTTGGTGGACAGATACTCTCGCATAGGGTCCCCAGTTCTATGGTAGATCCACTAGATGCATTGCATGAAAATTTGGGGTAGAGCATTTTGAGGGCCTGTGTCTCTGGAGGCTTGAGCAAATGTTAAGACCCTTTATTCTGCTGATGAATTCCTCACCAGGTTGAGTACAGTCAGCTTTTGCAGGGGCATAGCCTAATAGAAAAGGTATGAGAAGGTCCTGTGGCTGAATGTTTAAGCCATTGTATTTAAATGGCATAAAAGGCATTACATATGGCTACAGTAGAAGGACTCTCAATTGGTCCTCATCAGCCTTTTGTTGTTTTTCAGCAAGACAGGACTTACTTACACTTACTATGCTGGGCTAACTGCACAGCTAAAATTGCTTTATTGTGTGTTATGCAGAAGGTTGAAATTATTCAGTGATCATATTCTCCCATAAATAGCCCTCCATTGTCCTACATTTAAGTTGGTCTAACTCAGAAGAGCCATTTCTTATGATTATCACAATTGAGTGCAATATCTTATCTTTTACCCCATTAGCTGCCTGGGAAAAGTCTTTTGATCCTTTGCGTACATATGAGGATGATTTTTTCGTGAACACAAATGCATCTGTTAGAGTCAACATGATGCAGTATGACAATATCACTAACAGTTACTACGACCAGGATCTCTCCTGTGAGGTGATAGAGCTGCCTTACCAGGGCACTGCACGAGCATTGCTCATTCTGCCTGATGATGGAAAGATGAAGCAAGTGGAAGATGCTCTCTCCAAGGAAACTCTTTGTAAATGGAATAACAAACTTATGCCCAGGTAACTCTAGGTAGATGGATTACTATATTTGAGAACAATTCACTGTTTTTAAAAGGAAGTGCTAAGTTCGGATCATCTCCTGCTGGGGTATAATGTCCTGATTTCATAAATAAGCAATTCCCCAAGTGAGTCAGAGAAGAGCATAACTGCTAAGAAACTGCAGGCTCTCTGACCAGACAGAAGGGGTCACAGCATTGTAACAATTGCCTCAAGACTTGCTTGGCTGCCTTTTGACTACCGTACCTCCTCTTTCATGGTGCCAACACAATTCATTTTCTTCACCATGAATTTTGTCATGATATATTTTTCCTCCTTTTCCCTTATTTTAGGCTTTCCACAGTCAGTCTGCTTATTCTCTGTAACTCTCTAGCCAAAAAACTCTGCTAGGTGTCTGTATGTGGCATTGGGATGAATGAGTAGCAATGAAGAAATTTGTTTCTTTTCACAAAAATCAAATGGAGAATGTAGAAACAAGAAGATGGAGCATCTCTCTGGATGCCAAGATTGCTCAAGGAATACAAATGCTACCATCAAACAAGTCTGCAATGAAAAGAATTCTTTCAAGTGTCACTGAATTGCATACTATCCATCCTGCTGGCTGAAACAGGCCTGGAATGCCTCACTGTTGTTTTGTTTTCTTTGATCAACAGGAGATTAAATCTGCAGTTACCGAAGTTTTCTATTAGTGGGTCTTACGATGTTAAAAACCTGTTTGAGAAAATGGGTATTACTGAAGTGTTCTCAGGTAATGCTGATCTGTCTGGAATTAGTGGCAGCCATAATCTCCAGGTTTCACAAGTAAGTGCTAGTGATGGGGTGGTGGTTGGTTGTTTCGATCAATTGTGTCTAGGGTTTTTAAAGACTTTCTTCCCCTCCCTTTATTGTTGAAGTTATAAGTAAAATTCACAACGAAATGTAGGGGCTTGCTTAGTAATTTTGTTTTTCTACAGAAAGAATCTTCTGGATCACTTTTGTATTACTTTAATATTGCTATTAAAAGGCTGGATATTAAGTACATGGAAAAGTTGAACAACTTTAAATGATTTCTTGGCACTGGAATATAATATTTTATATGATATTGTGTCAAACTCTAAATGAGGAGTATATTATGATCTTTGTGTTGATTAGTACCTAATTTTTTAATATTCTCAAAGTTTCCAGGAGATTTCCAGTTTGCAGAAGCAGAATTTCGCTATGTCAGTTTAAGCTATGATTTAATGTTAAAGATGCCAAATGCTAGCCCTGTATTAGCATTTAAATAGCAGTGTTTCATTAACCTTGGAATAAGAGAAAGTGTTCCTATTGGAAGTCCTAACCATCTAAGAAAATAAACTAGTTTGTGCATGTGCTGTTATTATTTCTCTCTACTCATCACTAGTGAGAATGTACTTACAGTGTGTCCCTGTTTATTTTTGGCTCTCCTTGTTCAGTCCTGACATAGAAAACACTCCTGTTTCAGACTGCTGGAGATTTACCATAAAATAAAGTTTCATCCACTGGATTTATCACTCCTTTCTTCTCCTAAATATTCCATAAGAAGAGAATTTATTTTACCTCCTTCTTCCTGTCCCATATATAAACCACAGTGTTTTCTTCTTTTCTCTGCAGGCAATTCACAAGGCCCTGCTGGAAGTTGATGAGGCTGGATCTGAAGCTGCAGGAGCCACTGCTGTAATCTCTGCCAGATTTCTGTATCCTTCTGTTACCATCAAATTCAACAAGCCCTTCCTTATTTTGATCTATGACAAGCTAACTGGCACTACACTTTTCATGGGGAAAATTGTTGATCCTACTAAAAAGTAATTGCTGAGTTATTTGGCATATTGGTGTTGGGCACGAGTTGTAATGGGTACAGTGTTCACATTCATGGGCTAGTTAGTGCTACTAACTACTCTCTGATTGAGGGATATTCAGAAGTAAATGAGGAATTCTCGTCAAATTAATAAGCAAAAAATTATTAAAAAATCTCATCAAGTAACGCTTTTTAAATGTAACATTTTCCCCAGTTGAGTAATTATATAGGGTTTGCATGGCAAGGTTTTGGTAGTGGGTGGGGCTACAGGAGTGGCTCCTCTGAGAAGCTGGTAGAAGCTTCCCTCACGTCCAACAGAGCCAAGGCCAGCTGGCTCCAGGACAGAGCTGGCGCTGGCCAATGCCGAGCCCATCAGAGATGATAGTAATGCTTCCGTAATAACATATTTAAGAAGGGAAAAAAAGCTATTTTGCAGAAGTAATTGCAGCCAGAGAAGAGCAGACTGAGAATAAGTGAAAGAAACAGCCCTGCAGACACCCAGGTCAGTGCAGAATGAGAGGGAGGAGGTGATCCAGGTGCCAGAGCAGAGATTCCCCTGCAGCCCATGGTGAAAAACCTGGTGAGGCAGCTGTGCCTACGCAACCCCTGGAGGGATGCAGCGATCCATCTGCAGTCTGTGTAGGAGGTGGATGTCCAAAGGAGACTGTGATACATGTGAAACCCACACTGGAGCAGGTTTCTGGCAGGATCTGTCAATCCTGCATGAGAGGAACTCATGCTAGAGCAGGTTTCCTGGCAGGACTTGTGACCCTGTGGGGGACCGAGGATGGAACAGCCTGTTCCTGAAGGACTGCACCCCATGGAAGGGACCCATCCTGTAGCAATTCATGAAGAACTGTAGTCCATGGAAAGGACTCACACTGGAGAAGTTTGTGGAGGACTATTACCTATGGGAGGGACCCCATACTGGAACAGGGGTAGGACTCCCTGAGGAGGGAGCAGCAGCAGAAACAGCATGTGATGAACTGATCATAACTCCCGTTCCCTGTCTCCTTGCACTGCTGTGGGGGAGAAGGTAGTGCCTGGGCAGGAGGGATGGGTAGGGGGAAGGTGTTTTTAAGATTTGTTTTACTTCTCATTATCCTGCTGTGTTTTTGATTGCTAATAAATTAATTTAATTTCCCCAAGTGAAGTCTGCAGAGGTCAATAACGCTCAGACGATCCCAGTGGAGGCAAGAAGCCGGAATGCTTTATTGGACATACAAGTTCTTATTTAAAGGCTTTAGGGTCTACATATTCAATGGGGGGTTTACATATTCATCAGGGGCCAGAACTATTACAATTAGGGACTTTATAGGGATGAGGTAAAGGGGAAATCCTAAATTACCAACTTTTGGGTCTTAGCACTTACATCATAGGGGAAAACCCATCTTATCTTAGGGGGATTACATGGGGGGAGCAGATAACACAAAGGGAGAGATAAAACACAAAAGTTTTTCTGTACAGGTATGATGAGATCAGGGCATGGTTTCTCCGGGCTTGGGCAGGACATTCCAAACGTGTGACATCGATAGATCCTTGTCTGGACTCTAAATGGAGGTTTTTTCCCAGTCTCTGTCAGCCCAAGGCTTTTGTTTAAACCTAGTAGTTTTCTTTTTCTCATATCCAAAAATTTGGAATCCAACACAAGTCTGTTTTGCCTTTGACAGTAATCTCTCCCTTTCCTTATTTCAACTCATTAAACTTTCATTATATTTTCTCTCCCCTGTCCACTTGAGGAAGGAAGTGATAGAGTGGCTTTGGTGGGCACTTGGCATCCAGCCAGGGTCAAAACACAATTGAAGTTATTAATATGTTTTCCAAATTTTCCTTGAAAGATAACTTTTTTTAAAGTATGTTGTTATTTTTCAAAGTGAATTCTCTCTGCTAAGGAGTTTTGCTACTCACCAAAACCTTTATCCCAATAGGTAACAAGTCTTGTAATGCTACTACGTCTTCTCCAGCACATGATGATGACCAGTATTCACCTGAGCTGGTCCCTACAGAGTCTTTTCTTCTTTACATTGCTCTTTGCTGCCTAGGCTGTTTATCCTCAATCAACCTATTCTTTCTCATTTGTTCCAACTCTTTGCCTAGGATTTCTTAAGAAATCATTGACAAAAAAAAAAAAGAGAAAAATCCCTGAAACAATAGATTATTCTGTTGTAGCTCTCAATGTGTCTCTTTGCAGTCCACAAGATCAGCAAAAAACTTTGAGACAGTGACGTTAGGCATAGCATAAACTGTCAAAGAATTGTCCTGTGACAAATGTCATTCCTGAATTATTGTTATGGCCGATAAATAAACTAAGCATTGCAATTTAAATCCATCACTTAAGGAATTAGTCCAGTCTCTTGTTATCATTCTTTAAAGCTTTTAAAATTAACGGAAGCCCTCAGTCATTCTTATTAACATATCAGGATGTCTGTAAAATATGTTTTATGTCTATAAAATATGTTTTAAAGTCTGTTAGAGGAGTAAAACTTTTCTCATATGGAAATTGAGATTCTTTACATTCTCTTTTTATGTGCCTATTTGGGTAAAACCTGTTTTCAAGAAATACATGAACACTTCCTTTCTGTTGTGGGTCTGTAGATCACCACTCTTACTGCAGTGGAGTACTGGGGCTAAACCCTATAACAAACCATTTATCACACAGCTGCTGCCTCAAAGAGAGGCTGACTTCGACAGCGGCTCTCTCACTGCACTGCTTTAACTCATGCCATTGCATATTGATCCTGGATACATTTTTTGCAAGTGGAGTTGAGTCTCTGTCTCTAGGAAGGTGATGTTTCTGAATGTACTTGCTCATTTCCACACTGATCCTGGCAATGTGCTTTGAGCACTGCAAAGGCAGTGCAAACCCCTAATCAAAGCTCTCCCCCCACATCTCTGGCCTTCTGACCTGTTCTCCCAAACTTGGTCCACCCTACATAAAGGTGCTTTACTGAGGCCCATCAGTGCTTGAAGCATGGGTTTCATGTACGGAGGACTATGTTTCTGGCTGAGGGAGACTTGGAGATTGCTGCTGTGTATGAATCCGTTTGCACCACGTTCCAAGAATTCGGTGGAAGCCCTGAGCTATTGCTTCTCCTGGGACGAGATACCATCACTCAGAGGACTGGGAGAGACCATACTTTTGTGCAAAGCAGCGGCTTTTACAGAGTTGAGATCAATGATACTTGCTATGGTGTGAGGCAACCTGCTCTGCGATGGCCATACAAACTCAACAAGCGTTGGGAGCAGTTCCCACGAGATCCCATCCCAATAAATCTGTGCACCAGAACTGACTAGAAGGTAGGATGGGGAGATTTTTATCTGAGTAATGAGATTTTTATCAGGGTGCAGTGGCAGAAAAACAGGTTCTTGGCCTGTTACTAAAGGGAAAGAAGTTAAGAAAAAACCCATGGTTGCTAGGACATAGCAAAGGCTTTAGGAAATAACACATGGAGCAACTTCATGCCCCATCTACCTCTCAGGCTTTACTTTTGAGAGCAGAGGCAAGGAACAGCAGGACAACAGCTGCATTGGGAGTTTCCACACTGGACTGTGGAAAGTGACTGCTCCTGGTAAAAGTATCAAATGAGACACCTTTGAATGCTGGTTTGGGAGTTACCTATCACGATCTGGGGCATTACCACAGTTGTCCTCCAGTTGACAACTTCATGCTCCAGACCAGCACGTTGGCCTGAGTTGTAGCAGGGACCTGTGGTGGGAAGAGGGATCACACCAAATCTCTCTTGAAGGGAGGGATATTGAGGGAACAGGAAACTAGTTAGTCTTGTGTTATACATACACTGAAACCAGAAAAATGCCTATAGTTCACAGTATAGAGATCTATAGAGCCTGGACTGACACTGATGTTAGCGTTGTTCTAATGATATTCTTTAGGAACTGGACAATTCTGCAAAGTTTTTGTAGGGAGATAAGGTATTTTGTCCTAATTCCAAGAAATCTGTCTTAGTCTGTGTGCTGGTTTAAAAGTTAACCAGCAGGGGAAATGAACTGAACTCAAAATAGAGATTATAAGTCAGAATAATAATTTAATAAAATAATACAATAAGTACAATTATACAGACAA